TTTTTTTTTTTTTTTTTTTGAGACAGAGTCTCACTATGTTGCCCTCAGTAGAGTGCTGTGTCGTCACAGCTCAAAGCAACCTCAAACTCTTGAGCTTAAGCGATTCTCTTGCCTCAGCCTCCCAAGTAGCTGGGACTACAGATGCTTGCCACAGTGCCGGGCTATTTTTTGGTTGTAGCTGTCACTGCGTTTTGGCAGGCCTGGGCTGGGTTCCAACCCATCAGCCCTGGTGTATGTGGTCAGCACCCTGGCCCCTGAACTACTGGCGCCAAGCCTGTGCCCTGTTTTTTTATCTGCAAAATGAAAATAATAATACCCCACTGGGTTATCATGAGGTTCTCAAAGAGTTTAGCACAGCATTTGGCATAGTAATTACTCATTAAGTGTTATCAAATATTAAGTTACTGTAATTAAAATGCATACAAAGTTTGCATTCTGAGCAATGATGTAATATGTTTTTGTGTAAAAAGGGTGGATGCCCACCAAAATTTTGAATAAACTTGACGTCCCAGGGAAACAGATATTTCAAGATGGACAAATGTACAGCAACAGTATATGTGCCTCAGGCACCCACTTTGAGGAACGCTGGCGAACCAGTCCAGCTAGAGATGAGGAAACTAAGGCAAGAGCGACTTGAATAAGGTGGCCCCTGGTTAATGATAAAATCCAGGCTTCCTGCCTCCACCCCTTACATTTCCACAGCACCCCAGCTATCTAGTCTTCTGTTGTAGGAAATGAAGCTGTTAGAGAATGAAAAGTATGTTTGTGGTCAAGACCTGGTGACCATATCTGGGACCAGCCACCCTCGCACCACCCAGCTCCTCCCCACCCTTTGCCACACTACCAAGCCTCTCCCAGTTGCCCGGTCCGGCTTATAGTTGTCTTTGTGCATTTGCTAAGGTGTGCCCCAGTCTGAGGTGCCATCTGCGGAGGGGGTGCATTTGTGTGTCTGGCTGACACTGTCATGTGAGTTGACAGTGCAACTTCTAACCTGAGCAGGAGACTGGATGCCAGGGGGAGATACTCAAATTGAACTTTGGCCAGATTCAAGTTGAAAAAAACCCAGCTTGTTTCCAGACACAGTTGAAAAAGGGCAAAAAATGGAAATAAAGGAAACTCGGAGAGATGGGGTTTTAGCAACAGTCTGATTAGGGTCAGGGATACTAGTTTTTGTGAGAGAGAAAGGAGAGCAAGGTGCATATGTGTCTGTGTCTGTGTGAGAGAGAGACAGAGAGGCAGACAGACAGAGAAAGAGGAAAAGACACACGAGAGAGAGAAGTGTCTCCAAAATGTACAACCAGGTGACCTCTATTGTGGGGTGCCTGGAATAAAAGTAAAACCTAACAGTTCCCCATTAATTCAGTAGCTAAATGACTAGACAACAGAGTCTAGACTCTTCCCCCATTACTTCAGTAGCTAAATGACTAGACAACCAGAGTCAGGTGGATGTTGAGTCATGCTGGGCCCTGGCATTTGGGAATCAGAATCTTGGCTGTACAACTCACTGTGTGACCTTGGGCAAGTTACTTTAGCTTCTTACTGTTTCAGTCTTCCCTTATATGAAAGAGGATAATGATAGTACCAACCTCATAGGGTTTTGAGGGGATTACATAAGGTTGCTTTATGTAAAGCATTTAGCACAATAGTCATTGATTGAGTAGACACCATGGGTCCAGCTCCGTGCTCAACACTATATATGGACAATGAATGAACACTCCTTTTGTAGACAGCAGAGTGTATAAAATTATGATTAGAGACCTTTTCACTCTCAAATTACCCTGGTCTGGTGGATAAATTATTAGTGCCCACACTTTTAGCATTTGTTAACTCATTCAGCTCTTATCCAAGTTCAGACACTGGGATTTGAATCAAGGTGGCTTGACTCCAGTGTCTTTACTCTTAATCACTAGCGTGAGGCTTCTGAACTGGGAGAGATTTTGTCCCCACCCCCACCCCTAGCCATGCCACGACTGGGGGGTTGTGGGTAGAAGCTAGAGACGCTGCAGACCTCCTACACGCACAGGACGAGCCCCACCATAAAGAATTGTCTAGACCAAAATGTTGATGGTCCTGAGAAACCTATATTCTTGAAACCTCAAGAAGACTTCACCTCTTACTGTTATCTCTGGGGTAGAGTCACATCTACTGGCAAAAGGCCAGAAATGTTATCATATTTCCACAGGGTTTTCACCACAACCTCTGTAACCGCTTTATTTAGCCCCCTCCGTGAGGCTCAACTTTGTGCTCAGGCCCCAGGTGTTCACAGCTGTGAAATCCCTTTTATACACAGGACTGAGTCTGGAGTTAGGAGGGTGGACTCAGCTCGTGTGTTCCTGGAAGACAGGACAGCGGGCAACTACAGGCTGAGCCCTCATTGTGCAAATTGTATCTGTTGCTCATGGTCGTTAATTACTATTACCACACTCCTTTGCCTCTTCACTCTTAGATAAAACCCAAGAGACACGGACCCACCAAGTGTAAATACAGACGGGCTGGTTTCTAAGGGAAAGGGAAGGCCAGCACTGCAGATGACTCAGTACCTCTTTATTATATATTTTCTTTTTCTTTTTGAGACAGAGCCTCAAGCTGTCACCCGGTGGCATCACAACTCACAGCAACCTCCAACTCCTGGACTCAAGCGATTCTCCTGCCTCCACCTCCCAAATAGCTGGGACTATAGGTACCTGCCACAATGCCCAGCTGTTTTTTTTGTTGTTGTTGTTTGTTTGTGTTGGTTGCAGCCATCATTGTTGTTTGGTGGGCCTGGGCTGGATTTGAACCCACCAGCTCAGGTGTATGTGGCTGGCGCCTTAGCCATTTGAGCCACAGGCGCCGAGCCTATTATGTATTTTCAACCAACCAGGAGGTAGGTCCTGGTGGAGGGGGGACTTTTTCCTATTTTCCTACTTTTCCACTGGAAAATTTTTGTAAAGTTTGTCTAAAATGCTTCGTAGCTCATTGCTCCCTCTCTAACCTCTCTGTGAGAGTCTATCTATCTATGTCAACTTGGAGACATAAGTTTGTGGGGACGAGAGTACCTTCTGGCAAAATTAGTATCTATTATAGAGCAGAATGCAAAAGGTGCCTATCCCTGTGGGAAGATTTCAAGTCTTCCTCCTGCCTCTGTTCCTCCTATCTTGTCAAGGTGAGACCCAGAGATTTCCAGACCTAATGCCCTCAGCATTCACAACTGAGTAACCCCTCAGCCAGGACAGAGTGGGGTGAAGGGGAAGACCACGTGGCACTCTGAGAAAGGCTCCCCTTGCCCCTTCTTCAAGGAGACCCAAGAGTTCCCAGGGAGACAAGGCCCTGAGGTGTTCCAGGCAGGCGACAGCACAGTGCTGCTGGGAAGGGTGGGTGCGCGGGTGTGCCCCAGGCCTGTGATCATTCCCACTGCCCACATCATGCCCACCTGCCAAATGAAAGAAGTCCAAGCAAAGACTGGGAAATAAAAAAGCTAAACCCAGGCAGGACAAGTGATCAGCTGCCTGTTTGTGAATTATTCACACAGTGGGCCCAGAGCCGGGATGGTCCAGTGTCTGCTTTAAACAAGGTTCAGTGACCAGGCCACCATTAGCACACGCAGTGCTTTCTATAGATTAGGAAAACGTTCCCACTCTGAGCATATGAGTTAAGAGAAGGCACTCCTTCCCCAGGGGTATGCAGCCGAGGCTCAGGTTTGGCAAGCAGACACTCACTGGGGTTGAGCCCCACCCCCGTCTACCCCCCAGGTAGACATCTGCCTTCTGGGTCCAGGTAGCTCTGCCTTTGGATCTGTGGGCGTCTATACAGCCGTGGTCCTTCCCACTGGCTCTCCCTGCCCACTTATTTGCGGCTTCTGCCTGCAGAGCTCACCCCACACTCTGTCACATAAGGCGCATCCACTGGGCCCCTGCGTGTGTCCCAATGCACCTACCTCATTTGCCCGGGAACTTCCTCAAGTTCATTGCTCTGGGTATCTTGCCTGGGGAGATGAAGAAAGGAGAGCAAAGGCCATTCCGTTAGCAACTGTGAGGACTGAGATGTCTTGGTGCCAGCTGGCCAGGCGTGACGCTGTTGATGGAGTCCTGGCATAACTGAGCTCTGAGGTCTCTCCTCAGCAGATAGAGGGGTGGGGCCATTCCTACAGAAGCCCCCTGCTGCCCTGAGGAGGCCTTGGGAGAAAATAGGCCAAGGAGGGATCATGTCCCGCTCTTGACTTTGGGAGAAAAGGATCAGTGGGGAGTGGTAGACTGGCAGACGGAGAATAACAGCAATGGCAATAATAATCATAGTATTAACAGGAATCAATCATTTCTGTGGTATTTACCATTTCCCAGGCTGTGTTAAGTGCTTACTTGTATGAAGTCATTGAATCTTTATTAAAA